AAGGCAAAGGACTCCATTTCTAAGCTAGGATTATGTCACCTAATATAAGTGACCAAGTCACTGGCTTCTGTTTAGGTCGTGTAAGGACTGCCAGTTACCAGTGCGACCAGCACCCTACTGGGCACACAGTAGGTCCTCTATTAAGAAGTGTACCCCTACTGCTCTAACTCTGATAACACCACCATGCTGCTGCTGGTGATGGAGTGGAACTGATGCCATCATGACAGTGACTTCCTAGATTGTGTGTTATCTCCCAGCTTGGTGGGGGATGGAGAAAGAGTCTCACATGGGTAATAATCTCTTTATCAGATTGGCCTATGGATATGTCTGTGGGAGAGGTCTTAGTTGTTAATTAAGGTCGGTGGGGGGAACAGCCCACTGTGGGTGGTACTATTTCCCAGATCCTGGGCTGCATAAGAAAGCTAGTTAAGTGTGAGCCTGGAAGCAAGTCAGCAAACAATATCCTCCAGGATTTCTGCTTCAAGTTCCTGCTTGAGTTCCTACCCCAACCTCCTCCAATGATGAACTATGACCTGGAAGTGTAAACCAAGTAAACCCTGCCCTCTCGTAAGTTGCTTTTAGCCAGAGAGTTTTACTAAAGTGGCAGAAAGGGAACTAGAAGAGGGATGGTGGTAGTGGTGATGGTGTCGTCATGACGACCTTGATGGTTGTGGTGACAGTGTCGTCATGACGACCTTGGTGGTAGTGGTGATTGCAATGAGCTCATCAGGTTGTTAAGTCTCAAACCTGGGACAAACGGCGAACTGAGTTGCCTGTTAATATATCAAAGCAGACGTTATCCAAACAGGCTGTCTCAGCAGGGCCAGTACCTATTATAGAGCCATCCTGGCTGGCATGCCTCACCCCCACACTAGGCTCTCCTGCCCAGTGGCTGCCCATCCCCCAGCTGCTCTTCCCTACATAACCTCAGCCATCTTGGCTACCAGTCCTTTTGGGGTCTCTTGGTCTCCTGGCTTCCTGGCTCTCCCCTCTCCTCTTCCCCATCCCTTTACACAGCCTGGTTCAGTTTTCCAACCCTGTTTACTCCAGACTCTCCCAGATGTCTCTGCCCTTGCCTGTGTTCTCCATTAAATCTATAATAAAAAACCTCAACCCCTTAGGAGCGATCATGTGCTTCTTTTATTTCTTTTTATCATTCACAGGTGATGAGAGTGTCATGGCAGGTGATGACAACATCATCACGGTGGTGATGATAATGGTGATAATAGCCATGGAGATAACAATGGTAATGATGATGATGATATAATCACTGAGGGGTGAGGGCAATTATTATTAGAGTGTCAATGATGGTGGTGGTATCATGGTATATTGTCATGGTAACATTGATAACATCATGGCAGTGATGATGGAGGTGGTGGTATCATCGATGATATTGTCATAGTAACGATGGTAATAACATGGCAGTGATAATGGAGGTGGCATCATTAATGACATTGTCATGGTAACAATGGTAACATCATAGCAGTGATGATAATGGTGGTATCATCGATGATATTGTCATGGTAACGATGGTAATATCATGGCGGTGATAATGGAGGTGGCATCATCAATGACATTGTCATGGTAACGATGGTAACATCATGGCGGTGATGATGGAGGTGGTGGTGATAGTAGTTATTGCTATATCCCCAATTTTAGATCTAAGACTCTTTCAGAGGCAGTAGTGTTGCGAAAGTCAAAAATCACAACAGACTCCTCACTCCCCACTAGAGTAGGGGAAGAAAGCGGTCTCCATGTTGAGAGACATAGATAATCTGTAGGGAATACAGAGGTGTTGGGTTCAATCACAGGTCAACCAATTAGCACAGACAAAATGTTCACAAAAGTCACCAAAGCAGAACTGCGCATTTACAAAAGAGTTTAACCAAGGGTCAGCCAATGAAATTGGCAGCACAGTCTTAAGATTAAGACACATTTGGTGTCCCGAGTTAATCACCAGTGTGGCAGGTTTTACTGCCTCCTGCTTTGCCATCTCGAAGGTTGTAACCCCACTGTGACAGGTTTGACATTTCCATGTTCTCCAGTCACTAAGGCAAATGTCTTATCTCCTGCTTCACTTAGGGAGATTCATCTAAACCTTTAGCAAACGCGGGTGTCAGGCCAGGTCCAGGGGAGGAACTTACTTAGCTCTTTCAGTTATGATGATAGCGTTGAAGACGAGAAGGATGTGATGGTGATTATGTCATTGTGGTGAAAATGATGACAGAAATGGTGGCAGTGATAATGATGGTGACATCATCATGGTGATGTAATGGAGGCTGTGATGATATTGTCTTTGTGGTGATGATGACAATGGCAATGATGATAGTAATGATGTCATCAAGGTGATGATGATGCCAATGGGCATGATCATGATGATAGCGATGATTATAATGATGATGACGTCATCGTGTGGTGCCGATGGTGATGACTATAGCAAGGAGGACTCCCTGAGGTGGGACTGAAATTTCAGGAAGGACTCACAAATTATTCTTACACTGGAACCACGCAGCCACATTCAGGTGTCCTGAGTGGAGGGGGAACAGGTGCCACTATAGAGAGGTGCCTCCAGCAAGGCAGCATCCAGGGAGATTTCTCCCTAAACTCCCCCACTAGGGAATTTCCCACTGGTATTCCAGAATCTCCTCTACTTGTGTGACCTCAGGCAAGGACTATAGGGCAGTTTCACCCTTCAGACTCTGATGAGGAAGGTAGGGGCAGCTGGGAATGTATTTACAAAGTGCTGTAAATGATTCTGAGGTTTCCGTCTGGGGGACACTGGCCAACTTATCCTACTATGGGTCCCAGAGTGGACAGTGCAAGCTCTGACTGCCTGGGCCTGTCTGGGAAACCACCCTGACCTGGGCATACTCTGAAAACCAAGGAGTAAAATCAGGAAACCAGGTGCAGTCAGGGCACAGGGACCCTGAAAGCCAGGCCAAGAGACAGACCACAGGCACAAACCTCTGAGGAAGAAGATGGGGGTGGGGATTGAGCATGCCCAGCAGGCTAGGCAGTGTCTGAGGCAGGGGCTGGCAAGCAGTCATGTTATATGATCAGGACTGGTCCCACGTGAATGGAAGGGAGTTGGGCAGAAGAGAGGGGAGCAGGCAGCCCCATGGTTCAGTTCTTACCACAGTCTGTGGGACTAGCAGACAGAAGCCTCAAGGCCATGAAACCTCTGCCAGCTAATCAGACCTTGCAGCCATAGGCACAGCTGTACCCAGTGTGTTAGAGTGGAGTCATCATAGCTTCCTACTGGCAGGTTAGCCTCCTGCTGGGACAGCATCCAGAAGACCTCGCCATGACTGCAAAGAGGCCGGGGGTATCTGCCACAACTCCTCTGCACATAGGGTCTATGAGATGAGCCCAGGGGATCCCTAGAGGTTTCCAGGCCTTGCTCTCTTTTCCCCCCCCCCCCCCGCCGGGGCCTCACGGGGTCACAGGCTAAATCTGAGTTCCTACTAGGCAAGGAGGACAGTGCTGATCCCCAGAACTGCCTTAGGATGGCCATCTGCTCTGTGCCTGCAGGGAGTCTTGTGACCTTGGTCCCACAGTAGCTGTGGTGGCGTGACGTCACCTGGAATCCTGGGCAGGGAGGGCAGGTGAGGAGACATAGGCTACAGGCATCCCCAGAAGAGGTGGGCAACAAGGCCCTGGAATTGGTTTTTCTAAAAGAGGGAATTTCTTCAGGATCCCCCTGCCCGAAGATCCCAGAGCATCTCAGAGAGGGAAAGTAGCCCCAAGTATAGCCTTTAAGGCTCCCAAGTTTAAGAGGCAATATGTCTAGAGAGTGGAGGGAGGGAGAGAGGGTGGGAGGAAGGAAGGGGAGGAGAGGGAAGAAGGGAAAGAGGGAGGAAGGGAGGGAAGGAAGGAAGGAATTCCTATTCTCCTCTTCTTGCAATGACACAATCAGGTTAGGTCAGGGCCACCCTGGGGACCTCATTTCATAATCACCTCCATTAAGATCCTGTCCTCAAAGATATCTTCATTCTGAGGGACCAGGTCAAGTAATCTTGGGTGGTCACAATAGAGCCCACACAACCAAACAACCGCTCTGAAGGATGTCAGGCCTTGGACATCCAAGGACAGCGCAGCCTCGTACAGGACTCCACCCGCATGACCTTAAGGGATACCCCAGGAAGTCAAACTGAAGGCTGGCCCAGGAATGAGGGTCTCAGGGTAAGCTCTCCCAGCACCAACCCCAAACGGGGAGAGTCATTTCTGCTGTAGGGGACGCTCCAACTTTATGCACGTGGATGAAGCAGTGGGGCAGCCTGTGGGTGTCCTGTGATAAGGTATGGGGTGGGTGTACCTGGGGTCTTCCTCAGGAGAAAGCCGTTCTGTACAAGTTCAACATGGCAGGAGTGATGTGTGCTCAATGCTTGTGTGAACAGTGTACAGTATGTGGAGTATATGTGGTGTGTTTGGTGGGCTCTGTATGTGGCCCAGGCACCATAAGTACACTGTGTGCTGCACAGTATATGTGGTATGTCATATGTTTGGAATGAGTGGCAGTGTACATATGCACATGTGCGTGATGTATGGAATCCACTATGGTGTGTGTCATGCATGTGATGGGCATGTGTGTATTGTGCCTCCTGAGTACTAGGCCATCTGCAGGACTTAACTGCCCTGGCCAGGCCTGTGTGGCCATAGTGCCACTCCTAAGAACCTTCTGCCCATGCCTCACCCCTAGGGGAAGGCTGTGATCCTTCAGACGAGGCGTCCCTGCCACTGGGATCTGAACAGATAGCAGGAGACTGCACTGGGTAGACATGAACTTCCAAGTCCTGTCTGCTCTGGTGAGGGAAGGGGGAAAGAAAGCTGACACCTCCAGCGTGGGTCAGGACACAGTGCCACAGAGCTAGCTACAGGGGACTTGAGAGATGGGACAGGTTGCCAAAACCCGCTCGGGACAGGCAAGAGATGCTGATCACACCCTCCCGGGTGCCCCCCACCCTACCCCAAAGGGAGACAGCATGACACCAGACTGCAAGTTGCTTCTGTCACCTGCTCTTTATTGTCTGCCAGGGGCTCCATTCTCATGGGTGACCAGGGTCCCCAAGAGCAATGCTACATAGAGAAAGTTGCAGGAAGAGGGGCTGAGAAAAGTGGACCGAGCTCAACACACGAGCCTGCAGCCAGTGTGAGCAAGAAGGGAGGTGGCCGTCCGGGGGCTCAGCAGAGGGCTCTCAGAGTTGGTTAGCTGCCACCCACTCCGCTTTGCCGCAGAGCTCAGATGCCACATCCCAGGGGGCCAGGTCGTATCTCAAGAGTTCAATGCCATCATTCTTTCCAGCTGACTGGTGCTGAGCCTAGGTCACCCTGAACCCGCAGCACCTCAGGCCAAGACCCCAAGCTCGCTAAGTCACTTTCTCAAACCCTCAACCCTCTGAGAAAAAACGGAAAGGAAACAGAAAGGAAGGGAGGAAGGCAAGGCAGACTCTGCTGTGGTCCCTGGGCTCAAGGGGTCAGGGGCCTCAAGGGACAACCAAGGTGAGGTCTGCTTAAGACGAGGGTGCTGAGCTGGGCTTCTCCTCCCGTGACACAGGAATGGCCCTCTCACTGTGGCCAGCATCCAAGCCGGACTGGACCTTGGGGCCAGAGAAGGTCAGCATGCCATCCGCAGACAGGGAGCAGGAGAGGGCAGACTGGTCCACATTGGAAGGCAGACGGTAGCGACGGTGGAACTCACGGGAAATGTAGCCATGGTCATCCTGGGGACCGCCGGGAAGGGGGAGGGGCATGGTCAGGGGTGAGAGGGCTGTCAGTGGCTACCATCCCACACTGAAAGAGAACCTCTTAGTCCCCACAAGATAGCCAGGGTCCAGGTGGTCTCACAGGGCTGGGCTTTAGGACCAGAGCACCGGTGCCTAGCCCCTTCACCATGAGATTCACAGACTTGCAACCAGACTCCTTCAACCCTGGAATTATAGCAAGCCTCTGACAGACCTCTGGCAAAGGCCAGTCCCAGAGAATGGGCCTGCTCAGGGCCTATGCTGTAAAACGGGCTTCTGCAGATTCTTCCTGAACTGTCAGCCACCCTGCCCTGTGACTACTGATCACGTCCAGTGAGCTATGCCGTCCTTGGTTCTGTATACCTCCCAGCTTCCCATCCCCTTGGACCCACAGGGACTGCCCAGAACCAGAGTGGCAGCAGTCCCACCCCACAGAAAGCTTCAGCTAGGCAGAAAACTCACGTCCTCTGGAATCCTGGCCCCTCAGACTCAGCTTCCTGAACCCAATATCCCCCTTCTCTAGGGACAAAGGCCAAGAGGTAGAAGGTATACTCTGCAACCTGGCCCGGGACCAGGGAAGCCTTGCTCTGACTTCAACACACAGGGGGCTTGGTTTGCCCCACCCACTTCTAGTGTTGACAGAAGAGTCCACCCAAGAGAAACTAGGGCTGGGGCTGAGACCCCTTCTAGTCCTCTCTGCCGTCTGGCCCACATGGGTGTGACCACCTAGCCAGCTGCATTATCCCAGGTCTGTCAGGAGACATTACCTCCAGCCAGATCCAGCACCTGGAGCTCTCTCAGTCCAAAGACCTGAGGGTTCTCCACTGGATCAGGAGCCATGGAGCAGGGTGGGCGACTCCTGGGAAACCTTTCCCTGCCTGACAAGGGACCTCCTTATGCCTCAGGACTGTCACTCACTAACTGAAATACCACAGAGGCTACACAACGTTTGGTGCATGAAAATGCCAATTCGTCTGTCCTCAGGGTTCTTTTCCCCAGTCAGGTTGCAAATGACTCAGAGGGGCTACCGCCTTCAGCATTCTCCTTTCCAGAAGTCCTTTCTAATCCCTGTCATCCAGAAGACCCAGGGGGACAGCTGGAATTGTGCCCGATACGAGGGTCCTCATCTTGCATCCCTGAGCCCCGCACCTGCTGCTGCCTGGCCCTGCTGGGGCTGAGCACAGTGACCTCCATCGTTCTGGAAGGTCCCAGCATGAGCAGCTGAGCCAGGGCAGCCTCCCATGGTCTCTCTGGGGGGTACAGGACCCACATAGATGGGGCTACTACCCAAACTCACCTGTCTCTCATTGTGCTTGCCGTGAATCTCCACAAAGTCCTCCAGCACCTTCACGGTGAGGTCCTCAGGAGAGAAATGCTTCACATCCAAGAAGATGACAAACTTGTCCCGGTCAGATCGGACCTGAAACCCAAACCCACATGTGGAGCTCCCCAAAGGGCCGCCAGCTCCAGTGACAAGGGGGGTGGGGACAGCTGTGTGACTCCTTCTGGGTGGATGAGGCCAGACAGGGAAGTACCCAGCCGTCGGAACCGACAGTCAACCTTGTCACAGCTCCAACTTCCACAGGCCGAGCAAGCCTAGAGCTGGAACTGCTCACCTGGCCCCACAGGTGAGAGCACCCCTGATCCCCGGACCCGAAGATTGGGCAATGCTAGGTCCGCCAACTGATTATAGGGCGGTTGGCTAACTGGTTATAGATTGGAGGACTAGTTAGAGTAGCATGACTGGCTGATGACTGAGCAGCTTGGCTGTTTAGAATCCAAGTCATTAGTTATAAGTTAACTGGCCGGTTGGTCATCGTCAGATGGTTACTTACAGGTTGACCAGTCGTTTGGTTATGACCTAGTGGCTGATCATGAGTTGGGAGGGTCTTAAACACGTTAAGTAGCTCGTTAATTAAGTTAAGCCGGTACTGAGCAGGGTGGGTCTTAGCATGTGAAGTAGCTGGTTAAGTTGTTAAATAGCTGATTGGCTATGGTTGATCAAGGGCTGGTGGTTTCACTGGGGATTGTTTTTCTGGCTGGCTGGGAACTGGTTAGCTGGTGGGATGGAAGTCTGCGATCTCTCAACAGCCCCAGGAGCCTGCCTCACCTGTCCACGTGATGTTACTAATAGCTTCATATCACCACTGTCTGCCAGCACAAAGCCCAATGCACTCTCCTCCCTCTGCCCTGACCTGAGCCTGTGTTTGGGCAGTTTGCATCCTAGAACTCTGACTGGATCTGCTCTGGGAGCCTTCTTTTAAAGCAAAGGGAGGCTTAACTCTTCTAGAACTGTGTGTAAATCACTTGGGTAGGGAGGGAGATGGCCTTGTGACCTTTCTTTGGCTGTCAGGGAAGCTAGAAGGGAGTCCCAGCTGCAGCTTTGCCAGCTACAGAGGCTCCTGCCCCTCTGTAAGGAAACCCCTCCTCTCTGAGCTTCAGGACAGTACATCCCGCCCCCACCCCAAAAGAGAAAGTCCAGGGAGGGGCGGCCAGCTCAGGACGCTTGCCTTTGTCATGTGACTTGCCTTGATGGGGTTGTTCTTGGGGTTTCCAGCATGTGGTTGGTGCATTACAAACCACATATGGGTCATGAGCTGAGGGGAGGAAAAGACAGCAGTCGGGCCCAGGCAGGTCTCCTCCTCCGGCCCCTTTCCCAGTGACATGGGAGGTTTTGACTGCTAGGCTTGTGGGCTTCCACCCAGCCTCTGCCGGGTGTGAGGCTGGGAGAGGCAGGGACATAGAGGAGGGCACAGGGCAATAATGGATCCCTAGCTGTCCTCTAGACCAGCCCAAGACCCCTTTGACCAGCAAGAGGCCAGGGCGGCGACACCTTACCTCGGAGATTCCAGAGTCCAGCACCGTGCGGAAGAGGGACTGGCGGTAGTAGGGACTGATGGTGGAGGACAGGAAAGGCAGCAGGTCGTATTCGAAAAGGCCCTCGCCAAAAAACTGGTCGAACAGTCGGCTGGGGTAGAAGGGCCCCAGGGCACGCTTGAACCAAGGGTGCTGGATGGTGACGTCCATGTTCTTGGCAATGCAGGGACCGGAGGCTGGCAGTGAGTCAGGTAAAGGCCTCTGGGCAGTGCGGTGGAGAGCTAGCGTTCTGGTCCGCCCTATATACGCCTGCACAGAATAGAGGCATTAAGGGATTTCCCAAAATGCCTATGCTCAGCTCAGAGGGGAGGCTGCACTGTCAGCAGCTGGGATGCTCACCCGTCACCCAGCCCCAGCCACACACACACTGAGCAGCAGGCGCCCGCTCTCAGTCCAGACGTCCCCAAGGAGATCTGGGAGAGAGTCTTATCCTCCAAGGACAGCACTACTTCACATGTTGTCCTGAGAGATCCTCCTGGCCTCCCTGGAAGTTTCACACATGGGGAAACTGAGGCACAGAGCTTAGCAAGCCATCTCCCAGATCTCCCAATGAAAGCATGTTGTTCAAAGCAAAACACCCTCTGTCTTTTTATTACCCATAACAAAATATACACAACACAGGAAAAAATTGAAAGGAGACAGAAAACAATGAAGAAACTGACCAAATCCTGCTCCGGTTTCTGCTCGTCCTAAATGTCTGTATGATTCCATGATTCTGGGCTTTCCTTTGTGCACCCCAGCCTGCGCTCCCCTCCCTGTGGTCACCGTCCTTAGCAAAGCCTCAAGTCTTCCCAACATCGCTTCACCGTGGGTATTAAACTAGCTGCTTCTGTCCAGTCCGGGGTTTATGCAAATCACTCCCAGGTCTTCCAGGGTCTTCCAGGCAAGGCTGGAGAGGATTCTGCTCCTCAGCCTGGGACTCACATCCAAGTATCACCAGGTGTAAGACATCCCTGCACTCCAGCTGCCTGTGTGTGGCCCTGGCAGGTGATGAGAGCACCAAGAACAGGGGCAGAGAACCTTGGCCCTGAAGGCTTGGGATCCCAGAGGAGTGACTTCCTGGGGTATCAGCAGCGAGGACCAGAAGATGAACCTGATAAATGCTACACGAAGCAATGAGAGTCTCACAGTCTGCGCCCCGCCCAGGCCTCATAACACTTGTTGCCCACAACTTAGTAGTTCTTCAGGCCACACTAGGAGGCGGGTCCCAGTAGTACCCTGTGGGGGTCACTTTGACCACCAAGGCCGGTAGAGCAAATGAGAAATGATCCTCAGGAAGTAAGACAGCAGTTGAGTCCCACATGACTAAGTAGCTGATGTGACTTCAGACTCCGGAGTCTGACCCCGAGTGGTTTATTTTAGGCGTATAAGCACAGCACAGTTGGATGAAAACTTTTCTGGTGCTAATGAATTCGGTCCCATGTGTACAATAAAGCACACACAAATCTCTTTGAAGAACAAAGCAAACTAAATAAAGATCAGACGTGACTACATCGAAATTCTTTGTAAAGTATGTAAAGCTTTTCTCAATCTATAGGACCCATTTTTATGAAAGGCGATAGGTTCTACAGATTGATGGAGAAAAGCAGGCTTACGATAAGGGCCCTGGGGAGGGTCCAGTGTGGTCTCTGGCTACACAGATAGTGCAAAGGTCACCAGGCTAGAATGCACATCTGACCCCAGCCTTCTGGGAGGGTAATCACATTCCCTCCCTTGAAGGAACAGCCCTATGCGCTAACATTCCAGATTAACATAGGTTAACCAGGTTCCCCTGGTGCTTATTCATGAGCACAAGGACCTCCATGCCTTTTCCATCCCTCTACGTTACAAACCAAGGAAGCCGAGCTGCGTGAGCGCATCACCCCACTTGGAAGACAGGAATGGCATCCAATGCAGAGGGCTCAGGCCACATATTGAACTGGGGTCAACATCCGGGCGGTAGGAAGGGGTGAGGAGGAGTACCTAACTATGTTGAGGCCCTGAGATGGTAAGTGGAGAGGGGCTAACACAATGGAAGAGCACTGGCTATGCCCTCCTTGGAGAGCTTCAGTCAAATCAGGTCCACGATCAGGGCTATGAGGAGCCGCCCTCGAGCTTGAGAAAGCAAAGAGAGTAGCGTTCATTTACAGATAGGCATTTGGGGTCCAGCAGGATGAATGAACGGGTAAGGGAGCTTGCAGCACAAGCCTGACAACCCAACCCATGTAAAGCTAGAAGGAGAAAAAAGATTCCACAAAGTCATCCTCCAATCTCTATCTGAGGTGGCCACACATGCACACACACGCACATGTGCACAAAGACACATACACATTCACACATACATACACATGCACACTCAATTATTTATAATAATAATAATAATTATTATTATTATTATTATTTTAAACCAAGCCAAAAAAAATCAAGTCTAACCTTTGAGGCCTGGAAGCTACTCCAGAAGCTGAGTCAAAAAGCTCTCAAGTTCAAAGCTTACTTGGTTAGAGTGAACTCAAGGTCACACTGAGCAGCTTCGTGAACTGTCTCTAAAGAAAAGCAAGGAAGACCCGGAGATGGAGCTCAGTTGGTAGCATGCTTGACTGTCCTGCACAAAGCCCTAGGTTTGATCCCTCACACCACACGAGCAGCAGTGGCACACTCCCATAATCCTAGTGGTGGAGGCAAGAAGGTTAGGTGTTCAAGGTCATTCTTAACTACCTGGCAAGTTTAAGGCCAGCCTTGACTACAGGAGGCCCTGTCTCTAAATAATAGATTAACAAATAGATAATAAATAAGGGCTTGGGGGGATATTGTAGTAGCATAGCACCTACCTAGTACAAATGAAGTCCTAAGGTCCCTCACCAGTATCACAAAAAAATAATAAATTTTCATATTTTTAATCACAGGTTCTTTTAAGTCTTTTTGTTTTGTTTTGTTTTTTTGTTTTTTTCGAGACAGGGTTTCTCTGTGGCTTTGGGGCCTATCCTGGAACTAGCTCTTGTAGACCAGGCTGATCTCGAACTCACAGAGATCCACCTGCCTCTGCCTCCCGAGTACTGGAATTAAAGGCATGCGCCACCACCGCCTGGCTCTTTTAAGTCATTTTGACTTGTTTAAATGCTGTGTTAAGAGCTGGACATTGTACCACAAGCCTTTAAGGCAGAGGTAGGCAGATCTCCGAGTTCAAGGCCAGCCTGTTCCAGGACACCAGGGGCATACAGAGAAACCCTATCTTGAAGGGAAAAAAATGTTGGATTAAGACAAAAGGGCTAGGAATTTTCAATTCCCACCCACGTCACTGAACACAGAGGACAATATTCTTCTCTGTCTCCTAAACAGATCCTGTATGTGGATAAAGACCAATCTGGGACTACGGGCAGGAATAATGCCAAGGTGCCAGCCTGAGACCTCCTCTTAAGGGACACGCAGCCCGGTACCAGGGAGTACAAAGCAAGCTTTTATACCCCTCATAGTCCTGCTCCTAGAGGGATTATTAATTCTTGCGTGCTAAGGACTCAGGGGACTATGAACGGCGCAGTCCTCATCACGGGGCCTGCCTTCAGCCTGACTAGGCCTGAGTACGCACGGAGTGGTGAAGTTCTAGGGAGGGAAACTTGAAGATCCCACCCTTCTGCCTCAGCTCAGGTTGCTACATGAGTATCCTGGGGCTGCTGGAACAGAAAAACACAGTCTGGGAGGTTTACACAACACAGATATGTTATTGTCCTGAAGCTCTGGAGGCCAGAAGTCTGCAATGTACCCAGTCAGTACTGGCTGGGTAGGGCCCTTGGAGGCTCTGGAGAGAATCAGCTTCCTGCTTTTCCAGCCTCTTCCCAATCAGGGCTCTGCCTCCACCTTCAAAGGAAGCCAGGGACAGGCAAGTCTTTAATATTCCATCCCTCCGGCTCTCACCCTCCTACTCATCTTAGAAAGACCTGTTCCAGCCAGGCGGTGGCAGCACACACCTTTAATTCCAGCACTTGGGAGGCAGAGACGGGTGGATCTCTGGGAGTGCAAGGCCAGTCTACTGTACAGAGCAAGTTCCAGGACAGTCAGAGCTACGTAGAAAAACTCTGCCAAAAGAAAGAAAGAAAGGAAGGAAGAAAGGAAGGAAGGAAGGAAGGAAGGAAGGAAGGAAGGAAGGAAGGAATGATGGAGGGAGGCAGAGAGAGAGAGAGAGAGAGAGATCTGTTCCTGCATGCTACGACACCAACCTTTCAGGCAAGATGTGCCTACTGGTGTAACACTGGCACGGCAGTCATAGGAATAACCAACCACTTTCTGCATGGAATTGAGGTCGACTCCACTTGAGGAAACTCTTATAAACCTGATGAAACACTAATTGCTGGTGAAGTCGTAGCTGCTAGTAGGAAACCTACCACTATGTTTTGCTCAATGGACACATTGTCAAACTACCTTCTAAATACTGATGTTTAATCCCATAGATTAGTGCTGCTCTCACCTTTGGTCAGAGAAACTTCTTTCGCGATGGGTAGCAGAGTCAGCACAGAGGCTCACAGCGAGTCAAAGTGGTGAGAGTAACTGACCCACTAAGTGGTCAGGACTAAATGGGACATTTACATGAACACCCAAGTCTCAAGAAGCATCTGAGAAGGGAGGGAAGGAGCATGAGAGCTAGGGAGTGGAGAGTACGGCTGTGAGATGCTGTCTTCTGGATACGGCATGGCATTGCTCCCATGAGCCCACAGCGGCTACCAGAGCAAGATGAGGACAGCCAACATTTCACCAGAAGGCCTTGTGAGGGCACGGAAGAATACCTGCGACTCCACAAATTGGCACGCATCAGCAGATTTCAAAGGATCTCATTTACTTGAATAAACTTCATGGAGGGAGGGGGCCGTTGGATCAGTGCTGACTGTGGTCCACGGGACCCACCTGTGCTTTATTACAGGCTTAATCCTTAAATTTGTGAAACTGAGCCCAAACCAGACATCATGTTCAAGTGCAAGCATCAGCCCATGCCTGAAATATGTCACTAGACAGAAATGCTCTCTTCTCCCTAATTGCCGATTGCTTTAAAGAAAAATGAGAAGAATCACTGTTATCCATAATTATCACCTGATTACACTGAAGTTGATTTTGTCCTGTGAAGGGTGATGTGTTCATAAAGCAACCAACCTGTGTGTGACCACACAGTCTGCCTTCTGAGGGGGCAGCAGCATGAATTCCAGGCCCCTTCCTCAGTTTCACAGGCAGGGCTATCCTCACCCGAGAGCTCGG